AAAAAAAAAAAAAAAAAGGATGGAAAGAGCAAACACACATGTTCCGGAAGCATTTATGCTTGGGGCTGCTGGTGGTAGCTTTACATGACAAATGAAGGAGGGAGGACTATCCATGCAGTGCTGTCTATGGGGAAATAAAGCTATGATTTTATCAAGCATGTTTTTCCTGTGAGACAGGACCCTGAGTCAAGCTCTGAAAAACCGCACTAAGTCCAAGCAAGTCTGCCAGCAGAGAGCACGCCTCAGGGTCTCATCTCCCGACAAGATTATTCATTGGTGGTATGCAGAACCAGCAGAGATCAGGGAGACAGCTCGGACTGGGGGGTCAGAAGATGTGGATGCAGGTGCCGTCTGGGGCACTGTGCCTCCCATTAGCCACCAGACTTAATAAGCTGCTGTTGGAAATCTGGAAAATATAGTCAAGCATTTTCTTGGGTACCTACCGTATGTGCTACAAGTTCTCTTACACATCATCTCATTTAGCATATACCATGATCCTGGGAAGTAAAAATTACCTCTCTTATTTTACGTATAAGGAAACATAAGGCCAGGGGGGCTCAAGTGATTGCCTTAAACCTCAAGGAACTAGTAAGACAGAGAAAATTCAAACAGTGATCTGTCAGATTCCAGTGTTGGGGTTCCTTCTGTTAATAATCTTTTCAAAGAGCTTTTTTGGAAAACACAGACACACACAAAAAGACTACACAACAAAGCACAGATAGGTCAAAAGTGTTCTGCAAGCAACCAGGTGCAGCCACCAGCTCCCAGACTCAATAGTGAAGGGGAACTTCACGTGAAAATAATCACATTTCTTAACTCATGAGGGTGTTAAGATACTGAAAAATAGTTTTGCACATACAGCACTTAGCACGGTGTGCTGCATGTAGGGAGAGCTCAGTAAATAACTATTACTGGCACGACTCTTGCTATTATGAAGCAATAGCATGTGCTAAGGCACCGTGTGACGTGACGACACTGGCATCCCTAAGGGAGTCACGCACAGGCAGCATCTCCATGAAGGAATTCACACACAAAGCGTCAGGCATGCCAGGCAGGATTAACTGCCCTGTCCAGCTCCAGGGTTGCTGTGGGGATAAGATAAGGTGAAGCACAGGAAGGGGCTCTGAGAAACCTCACCCAGGGTGGCGCCTGCACGTAACGGGATGGCTGTGATCTCAATGCATCCTGGAAAGGAGGCAGGAAAATGCAACGGACCTCGGGCACGAATGGCTGAAAACCTGGGATGCTATTTCAGAAAATTCCGTGACTTAAAAAAGCTGGTCTCCAATCTCGGCCTTCCCGGTTATCAGTTATACAAGCCTTGGAAACAATCACCTTAAGTCTCATTTTTCCCAGTGAAGGGGGAAGGGGTGGCGGGTAGAATTTAAGTATCCTCCTCTGTTCTGCTCTGTGCCCAGAGCCTGGCTCCTATGGACTACATTCCCTGGTCCTCTGGGCTTCCTGAAACTCTGGCTTCCAGCTGGGTTCCACCAATGCAAGACGGGCAGGAGATCAGAGTCTGGATGGAGACAGAGGCCAGGGTATTCCATCCCGCATCCCTTCCTTCCTTGTGCTACATCTCTGGCAGTGACTATACTTTTGCTTGGTGGGGGAGGGGATTTCCCCTTCCATCCGGCTCTCCCTGGGCTTCAGCAGATATATTTCTTCCTAGTATGGAAACAGCTTTGTGCGGTGGCAGGTTTCTGGGAGCTTCACCATCCCTTGTTACCTTACTTAACCTTACCTACCCTTTGTAAGTACCTCTTGCATTAAGTGTCCTCATCTGACCTAGCCAGGGTGGGCTCTGCTTCTTATTAGGACCCCAAGTGACATGTTTAGAGCTCTGTAATTAGCCCTGTAGATAGTGCTTCTGGGAGACTGCATTCCCTTCCGGAGTTTCAACCACCACCGTCTTGCCCGACGTCTCTGAAAGTTGACTACTTTGTAAACCAATGATGTGTGGGTAGTTACTTACTGGTACGGGCTTAAAGTCTCATTGGGGAACCAAGGTAAATTAACTGCAGATACAAAACAGAGTATAATTAAGCACTAAACGATGTCTTACAAAATACGGGCATCCAGAGATCTAGGTTGAATTCTGGCCTTAACACAGATTAAATGAAGGTTCTGGGGCAAATCCTATCATATCTATGAACCTCAGATTTCTTATGTGTAAAACAAACAGACTAATATCTACCTCACAGGATCAAAAGAGAGAATATACGGGGAAATGCTTTTGTTGACTCTAAATTAAAACAGGATGATGGTGGTGTTTTGCTGGAGAACCAGTGATGGCCTACTCAGAGTCGAAATTTGAATTCCCCCTAAAATCTTTATAAGAGAAAACTCCCTAAAGCAAGAAAACGGCACCAGCCTCAAACAGTCTAGCAAAGGAAAAAAGACTCCCCCATATTGCCTAATGAGAACAAGTGGGTCCTTTTGCAAGGCTAACAGGCATTTTGTACTTCTCTGCCTTTTTTTTCCTGGGCAGTTGGCCAAATGGAGAATCGATCATTTATGTTTCTGTTTCTTAAAGAAAAACCACTGGGAGCTGAAACGTCAGCATTCTTCGTGGCAACTTGCAAACAATGAAACACAATTGTCTAGGAACCAAGAACTCCTCAATAAGTTCAGCGCATCTGACAGGAGCCTGTTATGGCAGGACAAATTCTCAGGGCTTTGGGGACCTCGCAGTTATAAGGGGTGACAGATGGGGCGCTTCCATGCAGGTAACACACGCACATGCACCAGGTCAGCAGCCATCTCCAGGCCTGGTCCAGCTAGCTTGGCCCAACATTAATGCGCACAGAGAACCTTCAGGGAGCACAGGCAGACTCCTGCTCAAAGCCACTTAGACCTCAGTGCTTCCATGAAGGTAGCTGGCCAGCGAGGCTCTCTGTGACCGATGCCCGGTGAACGGCTATCTACCAGGATGCTGGGAGAAGTCTGCTCAGCAGACTTACTTGTGGCTCTGGGTGAGAACCAGGTCACTGGAGATTTTCGTCCTGTCCTTTAATTACCATTTGTCAGAAGCAGATCTCCATTTGTCAGTAAGGGGGGACTTAGCAAAAATGAAGATCCTGGCCTTCATCCCTACCACTGACTAGGGTCTCCCTGGTAAGGAAGGCAGGGCTCTATCGGGCATGAGTCTGGAGAGAAGCTGAGGACTCCGGGCTCAGTCGTTTCTGCGCTCTCTCTGTAATCTGCCTGCTGGTAGAGGGGCGGCACTCTAGTGTGACTGCACGTAGGAGTCTCAAGTCCTGCTCTAGTGCAGCATGGGGGTTGGTGGGAACAGGAAGGACTACAGTTATCCAAATGCTCCACAAACTAAGCAGAACAGTTCATCTCTTTCAAGGAAGTCCACTGTAGCCACGAATCCACACCACATCTGCCATTCGAGGCATTTATCACTCATAAGGCTGCAATTTAGAATTCCTCCTGTCAGACTGCCTGTTTTTTTTTTTTTTAAATATTTATTTATTTAGGGGCGCCTGGGTGGCGCAGTCGGTTAAGCGTCCGACTTCAGCCAGGTCACGATCTCGCGGTCCTTGAGTTCGAGCCCGCGTCAGGCTCTGGGCTGATGGCTCGGAGCCTGGAGCCTGTTTCCGATTCTGTGTCTCCCTCTCTCTCTGCCCCTCCCCCGTTCATGCTCTGTCTCTCTCTGTCCCAAAATAAATAAAAAACGTTGAAAAAAAAATTAAAAAAAAATATTTATTTATTTCAAGGTGGGGTGGTGGTAGAGAGAGGGGTTGAGAAAGAATCCCAAGCAGGCTCCACACTGACAGCCTGGACCCGGATGTGGAGCTCCATCCCATGAACCCGGAGATCATGACCAGGGCAGCAAACAAGAGTCAGATGCTCAACGCACTGAGTCACCCAGGTGCTCCCTCCTGTCAGACTTCTTTGTCTACTTATCAACCAGATGTAAGCTAAGCAAAAGAAGAGAGCTCATTATTGGACTGCCCTAACAATCTCATAATGTTGCTTAATTATGAAGAAAAAAAGAAAGAAAAAAGAAAACATAAACATTAACCTTTCCCAAGGTGAGCATCTATGAAATCATGATTTGAGTATCTTTTTCTAGGATACCTTATAATAGATATGTAACTATTAAAATAAAGCTTGCTTATGTAACAGCTAGAGAAGAAACTGGTACATATTTTAGAAAATTAAGATTTTTAAAAAGGATGATTCCTACAGCCATACTACAGGGGCACTTAGCATCTGTTATACATCTTAAACTGCAGAGAAAAATTGTATAACATAAATAAAAATAATAGCTCTGATTTGTTAAGCAAATAGGAAAGAAAAGGCAATGGAGAGGGTGTTTTACAGATACTGCCCTAGTTTGTACTTTGAGGCACTTGGCCAATCTTGTATATTATTTTTCTTTTCTTCCTTCTTTCTTACACTTAAAAAAAAATGTATATGTGTGTGTGTGTGTGTGTGTGTGTGTGTGTATAAAGTTATGTCCTGAGGAACTATTTGAAGATATTTAAAAAATTATCATAATATAATATTAGATGAGAAAAAAATGTAAGACTATATAAATAGTAATTCCAATTGTATTACATGTTTATAATTCATATAATACACATGAAAATACAAAGACAGATTGTAAGTTACACACTGATTTTCTTTGTGTGGTGGAATTATAGATGTTTTCAATTTTTCTCTTTATACTTGTCTGTATTTTCAAAATATTTTACAATAAACATTTGTGAATTCTACAATCAGGAAAATACTTAAATTACGTGTACAAGATGCATCAAGTATCTTGCAGACTTCCTGCTAAATCATTTGTTTTTCAAATATTGTAAATCACTTTTTAAAAGAATGAAACATAGACTGTATGAAGACCAGAACATGGGAACAAAAAATGCTTTTTCATATGTTTTAAAGGTTATTTAATCACATAATTTTCTTATTTTGTGTATTTTTCCCCAATTTCTTTCTTAGATTTCACAATAAAAAAGCTTTCTTTAAAGCATTTATAATCAGAAACCTCTCTATGATATCTCAAAATCTCCAAATCTTACTACATATTACTTTAAAAAATATGTTTCTTTTATGGGGTGTTTGGCAACATTAATAGAAATTATAAGAATGAGTAAAATTAGCTTTTATCTTAACAGAACATCTTTTACCTATTTATCATACAGTAAAATATTTAAAATGTATTCAAAAATAACAAAGGGTTTAAGATTCATAAAATCTGAGGGACTATAAAATTTGACAATTTAACTTTTATTTTTGCAGGCATTGCACAATGAAGATAAAATTGAATAAAAGGTGATATGCTCAGAAATTACAAAACTGGGCACAGCAAAGAATTGCCAGCAGTCGCTCCATAATGATTAAAATCTCTTCCCAATGAATACATGCAGTGATTCATCAGTGAAACAAGTAGTTTACTAATAAATGAATAAGTAAAACGTTTTATCATAATGATCATAATCACCCCTTCCCTCAGTCCTGTTAAACCCGTAATATTGGAAGTAAACTGTGTGGTACCTTGAGTTTCATCATGGAATCTTGACATAACTTGTCTCCCCGAGCTGCAGAAACCTCATCAATCCCGATCAGTTTGGCCTTGTACCGGACCCCTTCACCTTTAAACCTCTTTATCAAAGTGGCTTCACTGCGATCCTGACCTGAGAACAGAGAAAAGCATGATTCAGGCATGTAAGTATTCAGGTCCCACTGTCTTTAAATATCCACAGGGCCAAGATTCGGTCTCTGGTTTCACTTCTGTTCTGAGAAAGTCAAATCACTGGACCAAGTAGAAAAGAATGGTAGTTCTCCTGGATGCAAAGTCTGGCTCTATCATTTTAAATCCAGAGGCAAATTACTTCTCTCTGAGCCTCTGTTTTCTCAGGCAAGAGGGGAAAAAAAAAAAAAAAAAAAAAAAAAAAAAAAAAAGAGTTACAAATAACCAACCCCAGTGGGGCATTAAGATAATTAAATCAGACAACATGTATAAAGCACCCAGTACTGAGTTTGATACACACTAGGTATTCAACAAGTAATAATCACCCACTGAGTTCATGTCTGACATTCTTGTTACAAGAGTATTAGCACTGAGCCTCTTTGGCATTTCCAGCATTTAATATGACTTTGGCCAGGGTCCAAGACCCTCTTATACCCAATTCCATGGGCTGTTTTATAGTGAGACTCCAGAGTAATTGCTTTGTATCAAGTAATGACCCAGGGACAATTATCAAAAAAATGGTTTTACAATATCTCTTCTGCTAACTCATGTGTGTGTAGAAATTGGCTACTTGGTAAGGTGCACCCATATCCCGCAACAGCCCTTCTCAATAATTACTAACATAATATTTTGCTAAGACGTGTCAACCAGAAGTTCAAATACATCCTTATAAAATAAGGACAGTAAAGTTACTGCTAACTGAGTGCTTCACGGGAGATGTTTTATAAACTTTATCCCCACTCTTCATAAAAACTCAACCATATCCATTTTGTAGACAATGAAGATGAAGGTCATAAAATTCAAGGAGCTTGTGCAAGTTCACATGGTCAGAAAAAAAGATGAATACACCGTAATTAAAATTTCTAATATCATCAAACTTTCATATAACTCATCAGAGTATGGGGCATTGCACATATGGTTCTTAAAACCTGGAGCACCCTAGTCTCCTGATATTCATCTCCTGGAACATCATTAACTTGAACTTCCAATACCTCCTCCATCAAGCCTTCCATCATTGGTCAGAAACTCTGAGCTGAGCACATTAGAGCTAACTCAGCCTACTTCTCTCTATCTATATGATGTGCAAACTAAGGCCTTTCCATAATGTGGGGCTGAGAATTATTTCAGCTGAAAATAGAGGGGGGAAGAAAACAACAGCAATGATTAACCATTGCATAATGCTTTCCTACTGAAAGAAACACAACTTGCATTTCATTCATCGATTCAATCATCCCTTACTGAGCATCTCCTCCGTGCCAGACGCTATCAGTCACTGCAACAAATGTATGAGACTAAGTCTGTGCCCCTATAAGCTCAAGAGTTTGGTGACCGAAAATAAAAAATGCGTAAATGTGCATTGGGCTGGTTGTGTAAGAAGGTACGGCTTTATTTGGCCATCCTCATTTCAAAGTATGGCTTTCTCACTTGAAAGCCAACTAACCTGTCTGCCGAGCTTCAGTTTCCTCATCTGATGGATGTTGGATAAAATATCCACCGTCAGATTCATTGCAAATAGTAACTTAGAGGAGACAGTATGTGCAAAGCATGGATTCACACGGTGAGTGCTCAGAAAATGGCAGCTGTCACCACTATTACCAGCCCAGTGAATGAAGAAGAGAAGACAGAATGCTGAAGGAAGGAGGGCACAAAGGAATGTCTGCAGAACCAGACCCCTAGTTTCCAGCTGGTGCTTTTTCCCCCTGTACCCTTGCTGACTCCTCATATAGTAAAGCCTTTGAATTATAGTCCACAAAGCAGATATAACATATGCATAATTAGTCATGATCTGTAATTGACGTAAAAATTAAGGCCCAGGGTTCTGTGAGGGCAGATTGTCAGAGATTAAAGCTAAGAACAAAGAGGACATTTTCCAGGATAAACCCTGTGCAGACACCTACCCAAACAACAGGGCCATGTACGACAAGTTACCTCTCCTTGCATTATCATGGGGTGTCGGGTAGGAGTGGCCTATGGCTTACTCTGTTTCTTGGGAAGGTTTTCTTACTCTACCACGAATATCATCTCAGCCTTTTCAACCCATGATATTATTTCAGTCACTAATCAAATCCCTTTTACTATGAGGGACTTCTCCAAGCTTTACTTATAATAACCATTCCAGGTAGTATTTATCATGTTCTGTACAAAGCACGTTGTATACACCAACTTGTTTAACCTTAGAAGTAACCCTAGAGGTATGTGCTTTTACCCAGGTTTAGTAAATGAGAATCTAAATGAAACATCTAAGAGGCCAAGTAACTTGTCCAAACTTACTCAGTGGGACCTGAATCCAGATATGTCTGATGCCAAAGCCCAGGCTCATGGTTTGCTTGTGTTCTGTGTTTTTGAAGCCTGTTCTCTTAACCACCATGATTAATTGCTTCTCACTCTACCTTACTTCCCCATCTTTATGTTATACACAAACTCACCTGGTCCAAATCTGTTGACACCCAATACACTGGCATCATTAAAATTCCACTGGGGAGACAGCTTGAAAATGGAACAGGGGCGCCTGGGTGGCTCAGTCACTTAAGCGTCCGACTTCAGCTCAGGTCACGATCTCGCAGCCCGTGAGATCGAGCCCCGCGTCAGGCTCTGAGCTGATGGCTCGGAGCCTGGAGCCTGCTTCCGATTCTGTGTCTCCCTCTCTCTCTGCCCCTCCCCCGTTCATGCTCTGTCTCTGTCTCAAAAATAAATAAACGTTAAAAAAAAAATGGAACAAATAGCTTCCGGCCTCTACATCATGTCCTGCAAATTGTCCATGAGTCAGATACAAAGACAGCCTTAAGAAACATTTATCAAAGCACAGAGCTCTACCAAGGAGGGCGCTTCATAAGGAGACAGAGCCAGATCAGGTGAACAAGGGCAGAGATTAATAAGAAAATATTAGGCCATTTAGAGGAAAGTAGGGAGCCCAATTTAGATTAGGACCCAGGGCCAAGCTAATTTGTATGAAGGGCACTTATGCAGTAGATAATCCAGGTTCTCATTAAATGCTCCACCATTAAAAGGGTAATTTTTCATGAGCACATCTTGAGCAAGGTCTCAGTTATATTAGTTAAGAAATAAATAACAGATATCAGAGCCATAAGGCTATTCCATCAGAGGCACATACGATCTGAGAGTGCTAGGGAAAGGGTCAGTCTTCACACATCACAAGTCATCGTGCATCCCCAGACTATTTTGCTGAAAGCACCACTGACCATAGACGTCAGGATGGACAAAAGAAAGGACCTATGTTTAAGCGACATCATCATCGTCACTATCAATTATTGACCATTTACCACACCAGTCGCTGTGCCAAGATTTTTCATGCAAACTCATTTAAGCCTCACACCTGCTTTTTAACTTACAGTCTGTCACCTGCCCTATTTTACAGAAGATAATGTCAATGACCAACACCAACAGCAGAGCCTGAATTTTTTAAATAACAGCTTTATTGAGATATAATTCCCATACCATTCAATTCAATCTCTACAAGAAGGCAACCTCGGCAACCACTCAACTAGTTTCAGCCTATATGGACTTGCCTATTTTGGAAGCAAACTGCATTTCATATAGATGGTAGCATACAATGTGTGGTCCTTTGTAACTAGCTTCTTTCTCTCATCATCACATTTTTAAGGTTCTTCCATGTTACAGCATGTGCCTGTACTTCATGTCTTTTTTGGGGGAGGGGGGGCTGAATAATATTCCATTGCATCAAGATACCACATCAGCTGATGGACATTTAGGCTGTTTCCATTTGGGGGCTATTTTGAACAATGCTGCTATGACACTGGTGTATCAGTTACTATGTGGGCATAGTTTTCAATTCTTAGTATTATACCATTTCTCTCCTAGGTATAATACTGGCTCATACGGTAACTCTATGTTTAAAGTTTTAAGAAACTATCAAAGTGTTTTCCCAAAGTGGCTGTACCAGTTTACAATCCCACCTGCAAAGTACTAGGGTTTCCGTTTCTCTACCAGATAGTCTTGCCAATATTTGTGTCTTTTTTGCTTTAGCTGTCCTCGTGGGTGTTCAGTGATATCACAGTTTTCTTTTGCATGCTCCTCAGGACTAATGACATCATGCATCTTTTCTTGTGCTCAGTGTCCTTTTGCAAATCTTATCTGGAGAAATGTCTATTCAAATCTGACACGGTCAGATCCGGTAGCCTGAATTTGAACCTGGGTGTTATGAAAAATCTCATGCTTTTAACCATTAGGCAATTTGGCCTCGGTTGACCTTACACCATACTCTGTTATAGCCCTTTGACTTTTTACTTTGTGTCACAGCTATTTGTGTAGATGCCTTATGGAGCCTACAGTAAATTGGCAGCTATCTTACTAAGTACATCCTAAACACACACACCATGTCTGATCTTCTCAGACCTTATCCCTCTTAATCTAGGGCTACTGGAAATACGCATAGTCATCATTCTATAAATGAAGAAACCAAGACCAGAGAGGTAACTAAAATTGCTGCAAGCTGAGCGGGGAATAGGATCTCATCCTGTCCCATTCCAAGACCTGAGATCTTCACTCGGAGGCAATAGGGTTTAATGGCCCAGAACCAGAGCTCTGTATCCAAAGGACTTGCATTCTGGTCCCCGCTCTCCCATCCACTCCCCTAATTGTGATGCGTTGGGCAAGTTCCCTTCCATGTCTGCCACAGTGTCTTTGTCTGTGTAGAGTAAATAATAACCATTGCTCCCCTACTGGGTCATTGGGTAGGTCAAAGAAACGACACATAGACAGCAATGTAGGACAGTGACTGACAGAGCTCAATCAAAACTGACCACTGTTACCTGGGTGATCATACTTCCAGTTTGTCTGGGGCAGTCCTGTATACACCTTTTGTCCTGATGCTATTATTCCTATCGTACTATTACCCTCAAAATTATCCCAGTTTGGATAACAAATTGTGTGGTCATCCTAACTGTATCATCATCATTTGTATAT